CTCTCTATCTCTCCCCTCCCCCATCCCTTCATTATCATTATAAACTTGTGGGTTTAATTTTTTTCATATGTTTTATTTTTCTTGCTGGTGCTCAGTTGTCTATCCTTCAAGTTACTTCATGTCCTTTTGATATTACTCACATTAGCAAGTGAGATTCCTTGCTTTCTGGCACAAGATATACCAGGCCCATCTTGTATATTTCCTAACACAGACTTGGAATCAGCCATTTACACCAAGGACTGATGTTCTTTTTAGTGAGAAATGGTTCTTAGAGACTATAATCTGGATGCTTGGGCTTCTCATTGGATTGTTACTGCTTCTAAGCCTTTTTAGTGGACAGAGTTTTCTCCCTATTTTTAAAGTAAGCAAATATATCTAGATTAAAAGCAAAACTTCTTGCCTATATTGAGGAGGCCAAGTGTTTGTTGACATTTTACAGAACTTTTCCAACTACTGCCTGACATTGTTTGCTTCCAGCAACAACACAAGTCATTTTCCCCCCTTATATGTGTTCTTAACTTGAGATATTCTTTCATGAGATCTTCTGATGAGTTTTTGTATGTTTACTGTAGTTCACTACTTGAGGAGACAATTGCTCTTACATTTTAGCTTTTCTTAAACTTGAAAGGGATCTTATATGCTGTGATTATTTGAATAAACATGCATGTATAGTAGTGTGCCTTCTTTATACTAACATAGTTAGAGGCCAGACTATATGATCCAAAATACAAATCAAAAAGGAAGATATAATTCAGTTCTATAAAATAATGATACAACATGTATTGGATTAATCTTTATTAGCAACCTGACATAAATTAGTCATCGTAGAGGCACAGTGATTCATCTTGGTCCCTGCCCTTGGGAACCTTTTTCATAAGTGGAACAGAATAGATATTTATTCTGTACCAAGAGTAAGGATATTTATGTTATTGGGATTTGAAACTTAAGATAGGCTAAATTTGTGGAGCAATAAACTATCAGAATCCCATATCCTAGAGGGTAGTAAGGTTGAAATGATATATGTGAATTATAGATCCCTTAAAGGCTACTGACAAAAATCAAGAATTTCTCTGTATATCCCAATGTATTTCTAACTTTAAGAAGCTTTCATCTCAGAGAATGACATTTCCACTCTTAGGCACAAACTAGTGGGATGCAACAAGTGTTCTGACCCAGAGGAATATTTTTTAAAATATTTTTTTAGTTCTCAAGAATAAATAGTGTATCACAGATGGTTCCAATAAACTTTACCAAATGAAAGGAAAAAGTGAACTAATTTTACACAAGAGTTTGGAATATAAACTTTTTATAGATCTCAGTTTGGAAATTAAATCAAGAAATGAGAAAAATGTTGGCTACAGATCATACAGCTTTTTGTTTAAGCCAGAGTTTGAGTTTCATTACAGTTCTAGTATTAAGAATTTCAGTCAGCGTTTGAAATTCATTAACTTCTCGGGCGCCTGAGTGGCTCAGTTGGTTAAGCGTCCAGCTCTTGATTTTGGCTCAGGTCATGATCTCAGGGTTGTGAGATTGAGCCCTGCACAGGGCTCCATACTTGGCGTGGAGCCTGCTTAAGATTCTCTCTCTTC